TTTCATGTTGTAGTGTTTTATAGTTTTCTTTGTATAAGTCCTTTGTTTCTCTGGTTACATTTATTCCTAGATAGTTCATCCTTTGGGTGGCTATTGTAAATGGTATTGCTTTCCTTTTCAATGCTGTCGTTTTTGGTGTAGAGGAATCCAACAGATTTTTGTATTTTGATCTTATATCCTGCCACTTTGCTGAACCTTCCAATGAGGTCTAGTAGCTTTTTTACTGAGTCTTTGGGGTTTTCTATGTATAAGATCATATCGTCTGCAAATACAGAGCATTTTACTTCCTCTTTGCCAATTTGGATGCCTTTAATTTCCCTGTCTTGTCTTACAGCTCTTGCAAAGACTTCTAACACAATGTTGAATAGGAGTGGTGACAAAGGGCATCCATGTCTGGTTCCTGTTCACAGAGGGAAGGATTTCAGTTTCTCTCCATTGAGATTAATGCAGGTTGTTGGTTTTGTATATATGCTCTTAATTATGTTGAGGAATTTGCCTTTAATTCCTGTTTTGTTGAGTGTTTTTATCAGGAATGGATGTTGGATTTTGGCAAATGTTTTTTCCGCATCAATCGATATGATCATGTGGTTCTTTTCTTTTTTCTTATTTATATGGTAGCTAATATTGATTGTTTTTCTAATGTTGAACCAGCCTTGCATCCCTGATATGAATCCCACTTGATCATAATGTATTATCTTTTTGATGTTGCTGGATTCTCTTGGCTAGGATTTTTGTTGAGAATTTTTGCATCTATGTTCACAAGGGATATTGGTCTATAATTTTCTTTCTTAGTGACGTCCTTCCCTGGTTTTGGTGTGAGGGTTATGCTTGCTTCATAAAATGTATTTAGGAAGTTTTTCATCCTCCTCTATATTGTGGAATAATTGGAGTAGAATTGGTGACATCTCTTCCATGAATGTTTGGTAGAACTCACCAGTGAAGCCATCTGGGCCTGGACTTTTTTTGGTTGGGAGTCTTTTGATGACCTGATCAATTTCTTCTTTTGTTATGGGTCTGTTCTACTTCACTGTGTGTAAGTTTAGGTAGGTCTTGTTTATCTAAAAACGTATCCATCTCTTCTAAGTTTTCAAATTTGTTGGAGCACAACTCTTCATAGTATTCTGTTATTATCCTTTTGATTTCCTTTGGTTTGGTTGTGACATCACCCACGTGATTTCTAATGCATGTTATTTGTGTCTTCTCCCTCTTTTCTTTTGTTAGGTTTGCCAATGGTCTGTCGATTTTGTTTATCCTTTCAAAGAACCAGTTTCTTGTCCTGTTGATTCTTTCTATAGTTTCTCTGTTTTCTATCTCATTTATTTCTGCTCTAATCTTTATTATTTCTTTTCTTTTGGTAGCTGTAAGTTCCCTCTGTTGGTCTGTTTCTAATTGTTTTAGATCTCACATGTTTTTGACATGTTATCAGGAGGGACCAATCCCTGGAGAAGGACATTATGCTTGGTAGAGTGGAGGGTCAGCTAAAAAGAGGAAGACCCCCATAATGTGGATTAACACTGTGGCAGCAACAATGGCTCGAACACAATGACAATTGTGAGGATGGCGCAGGACTGGGGAGTGTTTTGTTCTGTTGTATGTGGAGTTGATATGAATAGGGACTGACTTGATGGCACCTAACAATGATAACAGTTCAGGTATTGGTGCTGAGGGTGAGTCAGTGGGTGAGAGGAGAAATGGGAGGTTGGAGGCCAGTACCGGACTCTGCAAGATACCTGGGGAGGGCTGAACCCAAGGACCACTGTCTTGGGGTCGATTCTAACATAGTGAACATGGAGGACAGAGTAGAATGGCCCCACAGGGTTTCCAAGACTGATCATCTTTATAGAAGCAGACTGCCACATCTTCTGCCCATGGAGCAGCTGATGGGTTCAAACCACTGATGTTTTGGTGGTCAGCTGAGCACTTTAAGCACTGTACCATCAGGGCTCCTCCAGTGACGCCTAGAATAGGCCTGGGCCAGTTGGGAGTAAGAGTGAAAAATGAACTCAAGAGATACTTTGAAGGCAGACTGCAGAGGAGACTGAAAGAGTTGATGATGGGACAGAGGTTTCTTGCTGGCAGTCATTTAGAAATCCTGGTGGCTCTTAAGTCCATGAGAAAGCCCCAAGGGCCCCATTTGCTAGTTAGTTGTTCCGACTCTTAGTGACCCTGTCTAGGTTTCCGAGGAGTAGCTGGAAAGTTTGAACCACCAACCTTGCAGTCTGGCACATTTTTCTGCAGTGCCACACCAGCCTAATCATAGGATAGGCTTTCTGGGGATCAGGTGCCTTCCTCATCCTGGGTACACACACTCTGCTGCTAGTATCATCAAATTCACTTCTGTGCCCCTCTGTTCCGTCTTTCCCTTCCAAGTGGACTGAGGGCTGTGCAGGTCTTCCAGATGACCAAGCAGCTGGGATTGGGTCAACACAGTGAAAAGGCCCATCTCTCTTCCTGCACTCAGGACCCTTCATAGCCTAGAGTTGGATCTGTAGAGTGGACAGCAGGTTGGCCTGATGACCTAGAGCTGGGGCCTGCAGAGTGAGTGGACGGTGGCCATGGGGTAGAGATGGCCCAGGTTCTGGGAGGTGGGAGGGTGAGGTGCAGGGGCAGGGCTGTTAGGAGACTGTAGACATGGAGCTACCCACACAGAGAGCTCTTTGAGAGGAAGTCAGTGGCGGGCAGGCTGGAGGGAGGCCGGCCCTGAGGTACCCCCATAAGGAGGAGGCAGCTGTGCTGGTGGCAGGGGCACCCGAGGGCCCCGGAAGTCAAGTGGGCCTGAGAGGGGGAAAGGTGCTGAGGTTTGGAGGGGAACACTGGTACTAACATCTTGCAGCCCAGGCAACGTGCACACCAACCTTGTGGTCCACGAGGGCCCCCAGATCCTTTTCCTGTGAACTTCGGGGAAGCCAGGTCTTTCCCTTTGCATGTGGGAGGCTTGGAAAAGAACTGCTCTGTCTGCACTTCCCTTAGTTTTCATAAAAATAAAGCAAATAAAGATCGAGTCTGGGCTCTTTGAAACATTAATTAAAGGCACCAGTTTTCCTTATTTAACTGAGGGCTGCTGCCTCATTTGGTGTAATTAGCAAAGTGAACGAGTCTTTGTTGTGCTTGGCAAAGTGATTAATTCAGACTCAAGGTGAATTTTGGCTTTCTCAACATCTTTTGATGCGTTGAGATTCCCCAGTGAGGGCAAACATCATCAATTAGTTAAGCAAGCCGCAAGAACATGAAACCAGTGAGACACCGGCTGCCGATAGTAGACAGGGACAGAGGGGAGCTCCGGGCCCAGGCCCTCGCCTGTCCTTGGAGGGACAGAGGCCTTTGAAGTGTCTCCTGGGTTTGCTCCTGCAGTCCTCGGCAATCTGTTTGTCTTGGCACCACTGGAAGCTGCAACACGTGGACATGGTCACCAGACCCCAGAGCTGCGTGTCCCTCGTGTAACTAACAATTCTCTGAGGGAGAGACAAGTGCTGAGATGCAGACATCAGACTCAAAGAGAGTTTGCAAAAAACTCTGTTTCCTCTGAAACGAGGCAGTGACTCTCAGTTAAATAAGGAAAACGGGTGCCTTGAGATAATGTTTTAAAGAAACAAGAGCCACACTTTATTCCCTTAATTTTTATGAAAATGCAAGGAAAGACACGCAGAGCAGATATTTTTCCCAACTCTCAAACGCTGAAGGGTGAGGCCTGGCTTCCCTGAAGTTCATAGGAGAAGGATTTGAAGGCCTTAGTGGAGTACATAACGTGTTTGTGTGTGTGCTGCCTGAATTGTAGGAAGTTAGTCCAAGTGTTTGCTTCTCAAGAGCTGAATCCTCTCATGGGGCTGACTGACTATGAGGAGTCCAGGCCAGAGACAAGGGGCAGTTGTTTTCTTCTTTAAAGCAAAAAAAATTGTAGCAAGCCATTCATTTCTCTCCCTCTTCTCATTTCCTAGAGACAGCTGCATCTTACTGAAACACGCCTCTTTATATTGTGCTTCACTTTGTTACCCCTCTCAGATTCTGGGTTTCTTACAAATGGAAGTCCTGTGTCATGGCAGCACCATGATCCCAAGAGGCTGAGCTACTTCCTGTCTAGGTATCACATTCTGGTCACTTTTACCATATTTTACACCTAATGGACGACCAAAACTAAACCCCTGCCATCAAGTTGACACCGACTCATAGCAACCCCTACTCCATAGGGTTTCCAAGGCTGGTGTGGTCCTGTGGGATAAGCACTGGACTGTGACCCACAGCGTTGGTGGTTCAAACCCACCAGCCACTCTTGGGAAACCCTATAGAGGGTCACTATGAGTCAGAACTGACTCAACAGCACTCAACAACAACAACAACACATGTTTACAGATGCAGACAGTGTCATCTTTCTCCCGAGAAGTGGCTGGTGGGTTCAAACTGCTGAACTTTAGGTAGCAGCCCAACACTTAACCCACTGCGCCACCAGGACTCCTTAATGGACTACCCCAAAACTAAACCAAACCCACTCCCATTGAGTTGATTTCAACTCATGTTGTTGTTGTTGTTGTTGAGTGCCATAGAGTCAGTTCCGACTCATAGTGACCCTCTATCGGGTTTCCCAAGAACAGCTGGTGAGTTTGAACCGCCGACCTTATGGTTCAAACTGACCTTGCAGTCCATGCTTCGACTCTATATAAGGTTCCTGAGATTGTAAATCTTTATTGTAGCTGACAGCCTTATCTTTCTCCTGTGGAGTGGCTGGTGGGTTTGAACGGTCAACCTTGCGATTAGAAGCCTAACACCTAACCCACAGCACCACCAGGCTCCTTTAATAATCTACAGTCTGATGTAAACCTAACTTCTATAGGCCCAGGGCACAAAAGGAGCTGTGAGACTCACCCTGTATTGTGAGAGTTGCTTCATCGCCGCAGACTGGAACTGTGTGTCATCTTCTTGAGGGGGGACGGAACTCAGTCTAGAGAAATTCAATCAAACAACCAACATTCCACAACCAAAACAGAAGTCTTCATGAATACCAGCCACTGGATAACTGGCTTCATGACATAATTCAACTGTATTGTTCCGTATTTAAAATGTGTGTGTCTTCGTTATTGTAAAATTGCTGGGATGGCCTTCCTCCCCTTCCATTATGCTTCAGCTCTCCCTGGGATAAAAGGGAAGGCTGTCTTCTAGAATCTACCACGACCGACTGTGGAAGGGGCTGAGAATGGGGGCTAGGCTAGGGCTGGCCCTGTACTGGACCTCACTCTTTCAGCCCCTCCCTGTCTTCTTCTGCTTTGTGGTAAAATGGATAAAATCTCTCAGATGATAAATGAAATTGTGGCAGTTTGAACGACTCAGCAGCTCTCTGGAACCTACTCCCGGAACGACGACAGCCTAGGAAACCCTCTAGGACAGTTCTCTGTCACATGGGGTCACCATGAGTCAGAATTGACTTGACGACACCCAACAATAAGAGATAGAGGAGCCAATACCACTATATGGACCTTCTTTTGATCCTGATTTTAACAGACTCCTGGTGTGGCGCTGTGGGTTAATGCGCTGGTCTGCAAAGTTGGTTTGAATGGCAAGGTCAGTGGTTCAAGCTCACTAACTGCTCCTTGGAAACCCTATACAGGGTCGTTATGGGTTGGAATCAACTCGATGGCACTTAACAACGACAACACTGTAAAAGGAAAAAATAATGAGATGGGGACATTTAAATCCTGGCTAGATATTTGAGGAAACTAAGGGAATTTGTTATTTTTAAGTGTGATAATGAGAGTCTTTTTTAGAGACAGTTGTTTTAGAAACGGATGCTGTAATATTTACAGTGGAAATGATCCGATGTCTTGGATTTGCTCTAAAATGATCTGGGGGCTTGGGGAGGAGGTGTTCAAGGGAAACAAATGGCTCATGAGTTATGAGTCATTGTTAAGCTGGACATTGGGTAGACAGGGCTTGTTTTCTCCTAGTGTGTTGGCTGTTGAAAAGACCAAGAAAATGTCTCCCTCCTACCACATCCTCACTGGGACAGCCTCCCCTGCCCCCAATTCGTAATTTCTGTATTAACTTCTCGTTTACCCTTATGGGAGTGTGGGAATTATGTTCATTGTATGTTAGAACAAATGCAAGTCCCTTGGGTGGCACAAATGATTCGTGTTTATCTTATTAACCTAAAGGTTGGCAATTCAAACATACCCATTGATTCCTCAGAAGAAAGACCTGGCGGTCTTCTTCTATAGATGGTTGTTGTTAAAGTGCCATAGAGACAGTTCCAACTCATAGCAACTCTGTACAGGGTTTCTGAGGCTTTAAATCTTTGTGGGAGCAGAGAAAACCCTTGGGGACAGTTCTCTGTAACACTTTAGGTAATACATGAGTTCATAATCAACTCAAAAGCATCAGTTTACAAATTCATTTGTTATTTCTCTCTCTCTCTCTCTTTTTTGAACATAAATGTTATCGTAGTTATTACTGGGAAGTGCTATCAAGTCAGTTCCGACTCATGATAACCCTGTATAGGTTTTCTGAGGAGCAGCTGGTGAGTTTAAACTGCCGACTTTGTGGTTAGCAGTCCCGTGTTTACCCTGCAGCACCACACCAGGACTCCAAATAGAAGCATTGTTGTTGTTGTTAAGCGCCGTCGTGTTGGTTCCGATTCATAGTGACCCTGCATAGGGTTTCCAAGGAGCAACTGATAGGTTTGAACTGCTGACCTTGTGGTTGGTTTGCCGTCCATTGCTGATCCTATCGCGTCACACTGAATGCAATTTTTGGCATTTTTCACTTACCAATATATCCTAACCTTTCCATAATTGTTGCATAGTATATTATCCAATGGATGGCCCATCATTTATTTAGACAATTTGTATTACTCTTGAACAAGATCATAGCCCTGGTGGCGCGATGGGTTAGGTTGTTGGGCTGCTATACATAGTTGGCTCAAACTCACCAGCTGCTCCTCCGAAGACAGATAAGGCTGTCTGCTCCCAACAAGATTCAGTCTAGGAAACCCTTCATAGGATCGCTTTGAGTCCAAATTGGCAGTGGGTTTGTGGCTTCTTATACTGTTGAATACTGGCTTGTTTCCAATCTTTGCTGTAATAAAAACAAAAAACCAGTATCCCTGTTCATGTATGTTCAACTATACAAGTAGATGTAGGACAAGATCTAGGCATGAAATTGATGGGTCCAATTATTTTATTTGAAAAAATACCTAAGTCAGAAACTAGCAAATCATCCCCTATGGGCCTGTCTTTCAGTGGCGTTGTTGAGTGTTGTTGAGTTGGTTCTGACTTAGAGTGGTCCTAGATAGGATTTCCAAGGCTGTAAATCTTTCTGGGAGCAGAAATCCTCCTTTTTCTTCTGCAGAGCTGCTGGTAGGCTTGAACCATTTACCTTGTGGTTCGAAGTCCAGTGCTTATCCTACAGAGCCACTGTACTCCTGTGCTCAAGGTCGACATCCTTTTCTAATTAAGCTAATTATTTTTAGGTTTTTTGAGAAGACTTCAGAGGATATTTTGGTTTAAGGTCTAATAATATCTCAAGGCAGTAGTTTCTGGGGTTCATCTACCCTCCATGGCTCCAGAGAATCTAGGGTCCATGAGAATTTGAAATTCTGTTCTGCGTTTT